GAAGGAACTCCGAGCAAGTCATCATCGATGCCATCACTAAACCAGATTGGCCTGAGCGGAATCCGAGCAGTGAGCGGTGGGAGACACTCAGTGAACGCTCTTCAAGCTCACACACTCTGACCCGGTTTGATTCTAACGTTGCACCAGCTGATCCTGATACTGCTGTCATTCTTCCTATTCCCTAAAATCCACATGCAGGACATGGAGCTAAAAAGAACTGGCAGTGATCATACTAATCCCACCAGCCCGGTACTTGTGAAACCATCTGACCTTTCAGAAGAAAAGAAAAGAAACTCATCAGTGAAATTTGCTACTGGAAACACTGCAGCAGAGGGTTACAGTAGTTCAGACTCTCTTACCTCCGACCCAGAACAGTTCAGAAGCAATGGAACGTCAAAGGTCTCATTCCGGAACGTCGCCTGATAATGCTGCCCCACCGCCCTCACCTCCAAGGCCACAGCCTTCTCATTCTCGATCTTCATCTTTACATATGGATCGGACCTTTACAGTCGCCACAGGACGACGACAGGCTGGAGTTGTTGCCCATCCTCCTGCAGTGCCCCCAAGACCGCAGCCCTCACAGGCTCCTGGTCCCGCTGTGGATGCCCAGTGGATGCCGATGACCCGATTCCTCACACTAGGACCTCACCTCAGCAGGTGCCAGAGCAACCAGACTTGGCAGATTTCAGCCAATTCGAAGTATTTGCTGCATCAAATGTACATGAGGAACAAGATGATGAAGCTGAGAAACAGCCAGAGGTCTTGCCGGTTGAAAAGCCTCCTGATTTTGCAAGTTTTCTTCGAGTTGCCGAAACTGTAAAATTGAAGAAAAGACAGCTGCTAGCGCTCCCGCCAGTGTGAGCAAAGGCACAACCTCTTGCGCCACCACCTAAACCTGTTCGAAGAAGACTAAAACTAAAAGATGAATTAAGGCCAGAAGTTGATGAACACACACAAAAGACAGGTGTCTTAGCTGCTGTGCTCGCATCACAGCCTTCCGTTCCTAGATCCGTTGGGGAAGATGAGAAAGCCATTCAGGCATCCACTAGACGCTGTAAGGAAACCAACACGGGTTTGGCCAGATTAAATAGCGAATTGCAGCAACAATTAAAGGATATTCTTGAGGAGAGAATTTCCCTGAAAGTTCAACTGGAACAACTCCGACATTCTCTCACTTATAAGCCGATTGCCGTTAACTGTGAACCTACCCATTTTTAAGCAGTTTTGGATTCAAAGCCGATTTGGAGACCCAAACATTCTGCTCACTGCTTCACATTAAATTTTATGATTTTGTTTTGCCCTATATGTTCACCATTGTATGTAAGTATCTTTTATTTTTTAATTTCAACAATAAAAGGATCAGGATGACTTTTTCTGGGAGGAAAAAAAAAGAAAAACATTCTGGTTGCATATGCACGCATGTCCAAAATTCTGACAGAATGAAGAATGGAGAAGGCATTGTGGTGGGACCCTGAGCTGTCAGGGGCCCTTAAAAATAGTTTCAAACACCCTTTCTTAACTTGTATTAGAAAAACCTGGCAGTGTAGTCGCATTAAGTCTAGAGTCAATATTAAATTTAAGTTCAAAGGCATGGTGATTAGGTTTTCACACCTTGTTATGATGTCGACATGTTATGTATCTGATGGAAAATATATATATGTTCAGTAACAAAGTTCCAGCATCATTTAATTCAAAAGTGAAAAGCTGTCAGTCCAGTAGCCGTGGTGCACAGATTGTGCCACCACTTGGAAGGCTGGCATCCACACGGGAGGCCCAGGTCTGGTTCCTTGGTCAACCCAGACACACCAGTGCAGCTGTATGTAACTGTAATCCTAGCCAACTGGGAGGCTGGGGCAGGAGTGTTTCAACAAAGCAAGAACTTGTCAAAATGTCTATCTCTAATACCTACTCTCTCTCTTGCTTTTCTTGTCTCTCTTCCCCTCTGTTGCCCAAAGGAGGAAAGTAACTTCTTGTTAATTTTAAAATATTATTATTGGGACCAGCAGATGGCGTGGTAGTTAAGGCACTGGACTCCCACATGGCCAGCCATGGTTTGAGTTCAGACCTGGCAGCTTGAAAATCACACTGGGCACATGTATCCTTTTGAAATCCCGTGCATGGAATGGAGGAAAAGGCATTGCAGTATGGCTATCCCTCTAGGATGCTGGTTTATCACCCCCTCCCCCACCCCCCGTCTCTCTCTGTCTCTTTCTTACAAGTGCACATGCCCTGTGGCAAAGACATTTTTTTACAAGTGCACATGCCCTGTGGCAAAGACATTAAAATAAAAAAAAAGGAAAAAGAAATTATTATTTTTTATTTATGTCTTTATTTCATTTACCAGAAAGCACTTGCTCTGGTGTGAAAGAGAAAGAGCAAGCAACAAAGCATGGTCCACTGTATCCCTTCACCTCCATCGTTCTCTCCCTTCAAGGTTTTGGGCACACATGCCACGTCTACCAGGTGTATTTTTCAAGCCTCTGGGTTCAGGACTTGAACCGTGAGGTCAGCCATGTGTGGAATCACCCTAGCTACCATGTCATGGCCCAGCCTCAATTTTTTTATTTTAAAATTCTCTGAAATGTGATGGGGCCAGCAGGTAGCATCATGATTATACCACTGGACTCCCGTGTAGTCGACCACGGTTTGAGTCCTGGACCCAGTGACTTAAGCTCTCTCTGGGTGGTGTGCGTGCGTGCCCCAAGATCCCACGAGGAGAATGGAGAAGGGATTGCCGCCTGGCCATGCCCCCCCCGGGGGGGGTAATTTCTTGCTTTCTATTTCTCTGTCTGTCTCTGTCTCTTTGGTGAGTACACATGCCCTATAGGGAAAACCTCTCTCCCCCCAAAAAATCTCTGAAATGTGAAAAAGTTCTTTAATCTTATGAAAAATTAGTGTTTTTGTTCATAATGTGAGTGATAAGTATATGAGTTTTTATTTTACTGTTAATCTTCGAAGTAGATACGTAATGCCCTCTTGCATAATTGCTTTATTTTGCAATGAAATATTTTAGTTTCAATAGTGTATTATCTGAGAGCTCCACTCAGTGACTGTACATGGTAAATTATAGTCTTATTTTTTTTTAAGTTTTGTTATAGGGTGTGTGTGCTCACTAGAGAGAGACAGAGAGAGAGAGAAATTGAGAGAGCACTCCCCAGTGGGTGCCCACACTGCATTCCCTCCTTCCTCCTCCTCAGGATTTTGGGCTCTCACACGCGCGCGCCTGGCATGTTTTTCAAGCTGTGAGCTCTGAGACTCCAGCCGCGCTGTCAGCTGTGTCAGATCCAACTGCTTTAACCACCATGCCACTGGCTGGCCCAACTGTGGGTTGTTAGCACGTGTCCCCGTTCGGGGGCTTCCGGAGCTGGCTGGTAAGGGCACCGGATGGCAGGATTACCCATTAACATGCGTGTTCTCCTTTCTAGGGTAAAGCATCAAGTAGAATATCTGGGTCTGAAAGAAAACATTCGTGTCAGAAGAGCAGGGTATGCCTATCGGCGCATCTTCCAAAAATTCCTGCAGAGGTAATGAACCAGTGACGCTGGGTTTTGTTTTTTAAGTTAATGGCTTTACTGAGGTTCAGTTCACATTCTGCACACTCACCCCTTAAAGTGTACAGTTCAGTGGCTTTAATACATTCACAGACGTCGGCATATCAGTCAGCAAAATTGACTTTAGAACATGTTCTTAAGAAGTCCTGTTCCTCTTAGTTGTCCTCTTAGAACCCCTACCCCGCTCCACCCCTGCACCGTGCCCCAGTTCTCCCCTCACCCCTTGCCCCAGGCAGAACTAAACTAATTTCTGTCTCTCTAGATTTTCCTACACTGGGCTTTTCATATAAATAGTCAGGTGTGTGTTCTTTCTGACTGGCTTCCTTCACTTAACATGATGTTGTTAAGATTCAGCTGTATTGGGGCCAGCAGATGGCGTAATGGTTACATTGCTGCACTCCCACATTGTTGACCCAGGTTCAAGTCCTGGACCCGTCAGCTTAAACTTACACTGGGCGTGTGTGTGTACATGCCCAAAATCCCGAGAGGAGAATGGAGAAGAGATTGCAATTTCTCTCTCTCTGTGCCCCTTGAGGGGAGGGTGATTTTTCACTTTCTGTCTGTCTGGCAAGCACACCTCCCTAAAGCAGAAATCTCTCTCCAAAAAAAACCGATTCAGCTGTATTATAGCATGTCTGCACCTTACTCCTATTTATTGCTAAACAAATCATATTTCAATAGTGCTCCACTGTGTGACCCTACCACATTTTACTTGTTTATTTACCAGTCATTTCCAGTTTTTGGCCATCAGGAATAATGCTGTTAAGAAAATGGATGTGTGCGTTTTCATGTAGCTATTTTCATTTCTTGTGGATGTACATCTAAAAGTGGAATTGTTAGGGCATGTGATTCTGTGAACTTTTTTTTTTTGCTATAGAGCACGTGTGCTTACTGGAGAAAGAGACGGGGAGAGAGAAAGAAAGGGGGGGAAAGTGGAAAAGCATCCCCCAGGGAGGATGGCCATGCTGCAGTCCTTTCTCCTCCATTCTCCTCTCAGGATTTGGGGCACACATAGACACACCCCCCAGTGTGTTGTCCTAGCCACCGCATCTGGGACTCGAACTGTGCAGTTGGCCCTGTGGGGCCACCACACCACCTGGCTGGTCCGCTATGTGTAACCTTTCTGGGAACTGCCAGATTGTGTGAAGTGACGGTACCATTTTACGTTCTCACCAGCAGTCCTCGGCTTCCTGCTGTCTGAGTCCATGCCAGCATATGTTGTTACCCCGCGAACCCTGCTGGTGGGTGTGAAGTGGGATCTCGTGTGGTTTTGATTTGCATTTCCCAGATGGCACGTAACCCTGTGCATCCTTCCATGTGCTGAGTGACCAGTAGTATTTCCTCCTGGGAGACATGTCTGTTTGGGTCCTTTACTCATATTTTAATTGTTTTTTTGTTTCATTTTGTTATTATTAAGTTGTATTGGAATTCTTTTTGCCACTCTATTGAAGTATAAATGAGTAGTCACAAAGTATTCAGTGTCAATGGGCTGTCCATTTAGTATAATGCACAAGCTCAAGACTTTTTAATGTCTGTGACACAGGTAGGCTGGCTTTAACCTGACTGAGTATATTAACCCTCGAAAGATCATTTCAGGAAAATCTTTATCCCCCTTAAAAATAAATAAATAAATAAGCTTATAGTATTGAACCTCAAAATTTTGTTTTTTTTTTTTAAAGAATATTTTATTTTATTTTATTTTATTTATTCTTCTCCTTCAGTTTGCCCAAAGAGAGACAGAGACAGAGAGAGGGAAAGCAAGCTGCCAGGTCTGGGACTCAAACTGCAGTCAGACATGTAGGAGTCCAGCACCTTAACCACCATGACACCTGCCAGCCCCTAAAATTTTTCTACGATCTATGTATGAATTTAAGCAATTGTTTTTTCTGTTTTGTTTAATAGTTTTTATTGCAGAGGGCATGTGTGCACTTGTTAGAGAGAGACAGTAAACAAGCACCCGTAAGTGGGGTGTGGGCAGTCCTTTCTCCTCCATTTCTTCATCCCGTCAGGCTATGGGGCATGCATACACATGCCCTAGGTTTGGTGGATTTTTTGGGGAGGTTTTTACTATAGGGCGCGTGCGCTCGCCAGAAAGACAGAGAGAGACAGAGAGACAGAAAGCAAGAAATCACCCCCAGGGGATGGCCACACCGCAATCCCTTCTCCTCCATTCTCCTCTCGGGATCTTGCGCATGCATGCACATGTGCCCAACGTGAGTTTAAGCCACCGGGTCCGGGACTCAAACTGCAGTCAACTACGTGGGAGTTCAGCGACATAGCCATTACGCTAACTACTGGTCCCTAGGTTTGGTTTTCAAGTCACCAGGGCTGGGATTCAAACCACAGTCGGTCATGTGGGATATAGCTCTCTGCACAGTGCCAGCCCCAAACCACTTTTCTGTTTTGATTAAAGTGTATTTATCAGGGCCTATACTTAAATTATTCTTATTCTGTGTTAACTTATTTGGGTAAAGAATAAAATTTAATTTCCCTAAAATATTGTATCATTCTAACTTCTCTGATTCTGTGGAATTCTTCTGTTTTTCTAGATTTAATTTTCTTTAAGAAAGAGGGAAGGGCAGGCCAGCAGGTGGCATGGAGGTTAAGGTGCTAGATCCCACATGGCTGACTTTGCAGTGAGACCCTGAACCCAGCAGCTTGAATGTCATACTGGGGGCCCAGCAGGTGGCATAGTGGTTAAGGTGCTGGACTTCCACATGGCCGTCCACAGTCCGAGTCCAGGACCTGGTGACTTGAAACTCACGCCAGGTGTGTTTGTGTGTGTGTGTGTGTGCGTGCGCATGCCCAAAATCCTGAGAGGAGCATCTCTGTCTCTCCAGTGAGTACACACAGCCTATACCAAAATTTTCTCCCCCCAAAATAAATAAATAAATAAATAAAAACCATACTGGGCATGTGCATGCCCAAAATTCCTAAGAGTAGACAGAGAGAGGGGACTGCTCGCTCCCCAAGACCTCTAACGAATATATGTGACT